CAAAACCAAACTGACACATGCTGAAAATGGCAGGGGAAAAAATAATTATGTTCCTTGCCTTTTAATTATTTTTGTATATGTGTTTTTATTATTATTTTTTAGATGTGTCCCATACAGGAAATGCATCCTAAACTGCTAGAGTTCACAGATCAAAGCTGGCATACTAATTTATATTAAATTAGTTCAGATTCACATCAAAGAGAGAATTTAGGATTTTGTTGTCAACATCTGTGTTAGAATGCAATGCACATCCTTCAGCAGTGTAAAATGAAATGAAATAAGGAAGACGTTTGGAAACCTCAGTCTCGAGAAAATGTTTGAAACTGCAGAGAGCCAGTCTCCCTCTGAAGTCAAATGGTCACCTGTTCAGTATTTCTCTGCAAGTTTATGTATCACAGTGCTTCTAATTTCAGAAAATACAACCTATGCTACTACTCATCATTCTTTCAACCTCGAGGTTTTAATGGTTTTAAACTGGTTTTAATATCTAGGAAAGAACTAAAATTGTGAAATCGCCTAAGCAGTTGTGGGTCTGAAGCCTTTGCTATATTTCACTGGTAAAGAAATAATTCATATGTACATAAATTAGTATATAAAAATGTGTGTGTATACATAAGCACACATAAAAACATAATATTTAGAAACCTAAAGCAATATGTTAATATGCTGGACAATAGAGTAAACTAAATGTATATCTCTGAATTGTGATTACAGTGTGATCACTGAGATTGTTGAGGAAGACATTCAGTTAAAAACAAACAAACAAAAAAAGCCCTTGAATTCCAAGAGGTCATTTCTATTCATGCTGCTGACTTAAACTTAATTCTTTGTTTGTATTGAAAGCAGCCCATATCTCCAATACAGATTTCAAAACAAATTTGCTGTCTTATGGAAGAAAAGTTGTAATGAGCACAAGAGAAGATGTGGTGTGCAGTGAAGTTCTGGGAAGAATGAGCTCCACTGTAGGAAATTGATAGGCATGAACTTAATGTTGATTTGGCCATTTGTGATACACTCAGAGCAATTAGATTAGAAAATATTTACTATGGAAAGAAGGGTCAATGATTATCAAAAATGAAAACAAATAATGAAACTATTGGAAGATAGCCAAAATTTTGCAAATAAATATTCTCCAATATTCTGTTTGATAAAGTAATTGACAAAGGGGTTTCAGGAAATTGTAGTCATGCTCTGTATCAAAGGATTTGTAAATAAGAATGTAAGAAAGAATGATTTCTTAGTTCACAGACTACGACATAATTTGCAGTGATACGTATGGAAAGTACACAACACGTTGTGGTGTAGTTCGTGTAGAATAACAAATGGTGCAGATTAGATTTGACACAGCTTGAATGTGTGTACAGTTTTTATGAATTGCAAATTCCAAGTCTGAGTTTCCAAACAACCCTGAAAAGTCATATTAAGGAATCTGTTTCAAAAGTAATGTAAGAAAAAATCTGGTATATCTTTGAACTCGGAATTTTCAAGTATGCTGAAGATGATGCAGGAAATCACAGCATTATCAAGTAAGCAGGTGGTACATTTCCCCATCAGTCAGCACTGCAGTGATGATCTAATATGTTGATATAGGACTGTGATCAGGAGCAGTTACTGTCTGTCTGATGAGCCAATGTCCTAAAACACATAGTGAATAAAACCTCCTTTCTATGTGCTGGTGTGTGTGCTTATATGTATGCGTAGGGGTGTGAAGCCCTGCGGTCCTGAATGAGTTCCAGTGTAGTTAATTAATTTCTTCCTCAAATAAAAATATACCTGACATTTCATCGCCTACTAACCATTAAAAGAATTAGCAAGGGAAGCAGATGGAAGTAATAGCACAGAGTTTTACTTAGAAGGACATGAAAGGGATTTTATTGTTACTCTTAATTTTCTGGATGCCTTCAGTTTTGTTCCTTCTCCAGAAATCCTCATCATCATCCCTAGAAATCCCGTTGGAAAAGCTTGAAATCATATCATATTTTTTGCTGTTTAAGTAATAGGTAGCATATCTGGAAAACACAGTTTACTTTTGAAGTACTCTTTGCAGCCAAAGTAAAAAGAAACAAAATCTGAAAGTCATACCTGTTACCATTGTGAAGTACTAACAAATAGAAAGAAAAAGCTATGAAGAAAAAATATAGATTTAGCATCATTTTAAGAAACAAATAACAATAAAAAGTCATGTAAATGTATGCACAGTTTGATGAGTGTATGAATTGAAAGCAAAATCAACTTTTCATTTTTCATTTTTCCATGTCGTATTTGATAAGCATTTTGCCTTCAGAGCAGAACAACTAAAGGAAGCCTACTGCAGCATTAACGCTTTCTTTGTGGATGCTTTACTGCAATCTGGCATCCAAAAGGAGGAAACATTAGAAGTGGTTTATTTATATTTCAGCACCAAATTAGAAAGATGACATCATTCATTTACAGTTCTTATCCCATGACACATCTAATCCCCAACACCTCATTACAAGGGACACTTTTAGGATTGCATATATCATCTTGTTTAACTTTTGCATTCTTTTATGGGATACAGTTGAAAGGTAGGAAATTTAGGGCTGTTCATTGATAAGAAAGTAAACTGATAAAATCTCAGGAGCTTCCCCAAAGAGGCAGAATATTACAGTGTTTACAGTAAGTGGGTTACTATTTATTAATTCTCTGTCTTTTCCACTATTGTTCAAAAGGACTTCCTCTTTAAATATTGAGTCAAACAAGTTAATGGTGTTTCAGGTTGAGTTGGCCTTGTGGCAAAATCAGCAAATTCATGACTAAAATTCTACAGGTCAATGCTTTTGTCTTCTTAATTAGGATGGAAAAAATGGAATTATCCCAGCTGTGCAGAAAATAGTGTTTAAAAGCGTGAAATGATACCCCACAGAGTCTGTGCAATTCCTGTTCAAAGGAATCCACCTCTTGACTTATGGATGAAATCTATATTGTAAGAGGCAGGGAAGATGCCCACAGCAAAGGAGCTGCAGTGATGGTTAGAAAGCAACGAACACTGGTTTAAGCATATCCATATCCAAACTGTCAGTGTTCCTCTGGCTTGTTACTGTGTCTGCAGTAACATGAACTGAGTGCTACTGCCCTCCCGAAATTTGTTTATTACTGTTCCCCAATGGTCATGTGCATGTAATGAGAAGCATTACAATATTTCAAAACAAAATTAGTTGCAAAGAAGACATTTTAGGATTTTGTGTGATCCCAGTGGTTCATGGTTTTCCTCTCATTACATTTTTTTTGTAGTGCAAATATTTTGTAGTAAGAATATTTGGTTTTCTCTTCTTGCTTTTTAATTTTTCTCTTTTGTTTGTTTGTTTGTTTGTTTGTTTTTCAAAATCTCTTTTCTACTTCAGCAAAGCTAATTAAATTCAAGGAACTTAATTGAAATCTCAGTTTTTACATTTTCTATTAAAGTATATTTACCAGTGAAGTTTTCCTAGCAGAAATTTTGGTATAGTATTGTTCTCACAGGAGAATGTATTTACCTGAATTCTTGAAGACTAGTTACAACATATTAGATATAAGCTGCTAGTTATCTCATGGACATTACCAGTTGGAATCCAATTAGGCCTGTTAGCCTAGGAATATACACAAATTAATGAGTGGTGTTTAAAATCACCTGTTCAATTTGGGAATGATCAGTTTGAGCAAAATCTTGGGGTAATGTGCTTTTCAGTATCCCTCTGTATGTGTCCTGCCACCTTGGGGCACAAGTGGAACTGTGAATTTTTGCAATTGACTTCATACTCCTAAATTTAATGTCAACAGAAAAGTGTCTATTTCCAGTGTATTTCCAATTGTTTGTGCACGACCCACTCAAGTGGTTTCCATGTAGAGAATTGGCACAAAGTAAATAATGCTCTTTCAAGTGCATCTATTCCCAAACAAAATAATTATATCAGGGTTCAGATGAGGGTTTGTTTTTTTTTTGAATATGATATTGAATGTGTTTAGACTTCAATCTTTCCTTTAGCCATCTACATAGTACTAATTGTGTATACCTTGAATAGAATCTTCAGATTTTGACAGAGGTCCCTGAAAGCTCATGGCATTTTCTCCAGGGATTTATCAGTGCAAAAGTAAAACTTGATTAATGGTTAACAAGTTTTCCAGAGAAAAACTTGTTTCCAGCCTTCAGTCCTAACAGAAAAAATAAGTGCTGTATACACTGGTATTAGGCAATTAGGTAGAAAGATATTTTTGGTGCCATGAGCAAGGTTTGTGTTATTCTAGTCTATGTATGTTATGGTATATAACAATTGTAATAATGATAAAGAGCAAGGATGTATCTTGTTATCACATGGTGACATGAGATTTTATAATCTGTATGAAGCAATAACTGAAGCATAGATGTTGTTTTCAAGACCTTTATGTAAGACTTTCATTCTGTGATATGCGAAGTCCCATAATCACTATTTCCTCTAAGTAACTGTGTTTGTATCAACTAGACTTCAGATTCTTTTACCTTACTATTTAGCAGTGTGATCCTTGTTTACAAAAAAAAAAAAAAAAAAGAAAAATTAAGCCAAAATTTATTTTTAGCATAGTTGTTCACAATTATGTTGACTTGCCTTGATAGATAACTGTAAATACTTGAAACATGCTTAATATTCCTGTTTGTGAGATTTTGGCAGTTAATTATTGAAACATAGTAATAAACTGGAAAATAGGCAACTCTTCTAAAATAGTAAATTTAGAAAACTTCAATGTCTTCATTGACACCTGTCGAACATACCATCCTGAATCATGTCCTTTTCTGATTTCTTTGTTATTCTGTGTAAGTGAAAACTGAGACAGTTATATTCACATGCTTTGTTATCTTTCTCTATTTGTTTCCTTTTGTTTCTGTGCCAGCAATCCTGACTTCTATTGTTAGATCCTTGCAGCTACCACCAAAAAAAAGAGTGAACAAAGAGCTAGGATCTTGCCAAACACTGCTAATTAATAAGTTCCAGCATGTATTAAATTTTTTCATTGTCCCTCTTAAACAGACACAAAATAGAATGAAACTAATGGCAGATAACTATGATGATGACCATCACCACTACCACCACCATCACCACCATCACCATCACCGATCTCCTGGGAGGCCACAACACTCCAACCACAGACCCTCTCCAGATCAGGTCAGTCCCTTCTTTTCCATGCTTCACTTCTATAATTTTACAGTTTTGATATCTCAAGGTGAAACAAATATTCCACAAATAAAACAAGCAATATTAGTGATGTGTTCTTTGAGCAGAAACTAGTAGGTGTGGCATTTGTTTCCAACTCAGAAAGAATCTGTGTTATGTCTGGGATCTTATATTTCTCTATCTTTTTAAAAACATTTCACAGATACTTTTTCAGCATTTCAGAATTTGACTTTTTAATTACAAAGGCCTACTTAAATTGATTTCAAAAATATGCAATTTTTGGAGTTTTTGGGAGCTTATTTAAAGTAAATGGAGAAATAATTAGTACTTTAAAACTTATGCAGTATTTCCATTTGGTATCTTGTAAACCACTAGTTCTAAGCTGTTCATGAAAATATTTTTTAATTATTTAAACAATAAAGCTATAAAATAACAGGTATAGATTAAAGGGAAGAGACACATTTTTCACTAGGCACAATAAACAAAATTCCAGAATGTTGTATTGAAAAACTGCTCACGAATCACTCTTTTACTATTAGTGTTCTTTAAGTCCTCTGTTTCAAGACAGTCCTAATAAGATGGTCTCAAAAGATTTGTTAATTGAACATGCTATCTTTGAAATTTTTCCATATAGAAAAAATAATATTCCTAAGTCCAACACTGGTTTGATTTTGTGAATTTCAATATTTATTTATAAATAAGCACAAATTTTGTAAATCAAAACATTTATTTTGGAAATACATAACTCATTTGATTTTGTTGATATTTTGTAATGTTAATAATTCAAATGTTAAGGGAAAAGTAAAACACAATTATTAAAACAAATTCATTAACATAGTTTTAAAATGATAATATTTATACAATATTTGTTTGGAATTAAGAGGTAACAATGTTTAGTGCTTGATTAGGATTACTGCACTGTCCTTTATAATAGTTCAGTGTTGTTCTTCAGATAATGCTGCAGTTCCTTTGATAGGAAGAAATTTGCTAAGTGTCTAATGTGCAGGCTCAGTACTTTTTGTTTGAGACATCTGAGTGAAGGAGATGCTTTGGCCAAAAATTTTGTTGTTTTGATATTTTTGAAACAGTAAATAGCAGAGCTCTTCTTTCTGGAAAGCTTTAAGACCAGATCCACCAAAAATAATGCATCTGCTTAACTTTCATATTTATATATGGAAAACAACACTTTAGTATTATTACAGTTATTACCTATGGTAGGATAGTTACTAGATTTAATAACATGTTGTCATTATAAAGTATTGAAAGTAATGAAATTTCTTTGTTATTTATTTATCCCAGTGCATTATTTATGTTTGCTTTGCTCTATAGGCTTTCCTAATCATCACCTGATTGGTGATTTGTCTTAAGTCTGAAATAAATAATTTGAAATTCAGTAAAAAAAAAATTCATTTAGAAGGGAGACTTCACCTGTACTGAGGCCGTATAATGGAAAAGAAAAAAAGAATCTGTATTTCAAACAGTATGAAGCAATGATGGAATACCACTGTAATGAAGTTACATCTAATTCTGGGTAATGCTGGAGGAGAAGCAGGAAGTAATTATTCTGCTCTCTTGAGCACTGGTGAGACTTCATCTGAAAAGCTGTATACAGTTTTGAACACCATGCTTTAAGAAAGATAGACAAATTGGAAACGGACAAAAGGAGAGCAGTAAGAATGATAGGAGTTTTAGAAAACATGACCTATGAGGAAAGCTTAAAGAACTGGATTTGTTTAGTCTAGAAAGTACTAAGAGCAAGTCATAAGTCTTCTAATATATAAAATGTTGTTGTAAAGAGGACGATGATCAATTGTGTTCCAGTGCCCGTTGGAGAAAGAGTAGGAGTGGCAAAGTATACCAGGAGTAACTAGGTTATTTATTATAAACAAACAAACAAACATAAATAAAAAATAAATTAAAAAAGAAAGAAAAGAACTGCAAACAAACCAAACCAGATTTTTTTTAGGTGTAAGTGTAGCAAATCTGTAAGTCAAAAGAAACATGATCATTCTTTACTACAGATGTAGCAGAAACTCCTTTCTTGCAGATTTTTAAGAACAGGTTACACACATATCTGTTGCACATGATAGTTGATTTATTTCATCTTATATTTGTACACTGGTTGGATGAGGTTTTCTTCTGAGGTACTGCCATCCCTAAATTTCCAGACTCTTTGAGCAGTGGATTAACCTAGCTAATGTTTAATTGTAAAGTAAATAAATAGCAGTTCCACAGCAAAGTCCTTTCTGAAATAAACTTTTGGGAAGCAGCAAAGTCAGTATGTGTGATTGAATTCAAGTCATTTCTTTAGCTTACATTTTTAAATCATGGATTTTAATTTTTTCTGTGTTGTATTATTTAGCATTCCAAACAGCACCTTTTTTTGTCCATCACTTTGATTGCCATGTGCCCTGCAAACTTCTGTTTTCCATTCAATAGTGTACTATGCACTATAATAAGAAAACACTTTTTATTTTATAAATAAACAAACAAAAAAAAAGGAAGTGGTGAATATTGTAACACAGAGGCCATTTTTGTGGATGTTGGGAAGGATTTTGAAATTTTCTTCAGGAATCTCAGAGAGTAAGAGATAATTTTGAAATAGTTTTCATATTTATGGATTATATTGGAATTTCTAATTTGTGTTGCTACATTTAAGTAAGAAAATACTCGCATGTTAGCATATATGCGTGTAAAAATATTTGCATATTCATTTTAGTACTTGTTAAAATGAGTAAGATATTTCACTCTTAGAGGTGTATAGCACTGTGAATCTATACCTGTTTTAAAGATCTTGATGTACTACTTGTTTCTTGGAAGAAAAATACACAGGCATCCTACTTTTAATGTGGTGCTATTTGGTTCAGGTATTGATATTTTCCTTCAGTGGTCATGTTTTCATTATAATTTTTACTCAGTAACAATTGCTATGAAGGGAAAAATGTAAGTTGGAAAGCTTTTGCACCCATATTCACTTATTAATTTACCTGCATGTTTTACATTTCTTGCTATCTCTGAAACATTTCTTATTGGCATGTATGACAGACCTCTAAGTCCAGAATGGTCTCCATATGAAAAAGTTGCATTTTTTTGCTATCACTTGTTCAGATTCATGAGAACTTTCCTATGTGGCCCTAGGTTCAAGTTATTGCTTGTGGACTACATAGTATAAAATATGCTTGATTATTTTAATCACAGCTGGCACCTCTACTTAAAAAAAAACATTTGTGTGACAAGGATGTAGTTAAGTTATATACATTCACCAGATCAGGTGCCAAGTTCCCCATCTAGCCTGAATGTGAATACCTCCAGGGATGGGACATCCGCAACTTCTCTGGGGAAACTTGTTCCAGTGCCTCACAAACTTCTGAAGATTTCTTTCTAACATCTAACATAAATGTCACCTCTTTTTGTTTTAACTCTTCTGCTGTCACTATTGGGCCACACAAAAAAAAGTCAATCTCCATCTTATTTATAAACTCCCTTTAAGTACTGAAATGCATCAATGAGGTCTCCCCAGAGCTTTCTCTTCTCCAGGCTGAACAAGCCAAGCATCCTCTGTCTGTCTTCATAGAAGAGATTTTTCTGCCCACTGATCATCTTCACGGCTGCAAATAGGACCTGCTCCAACAGTTCCACATCTTTCTTGTGCTGGGAGCCCCAGACCTGGATGCAGTATTCCAGATGGGGCCTTGTAAGAGTGGAGTGGAAGGGGACAATCCCCTCCCTCGCCCTGCTTGCCACCTCTCTTTTGATGCAGTTCAGGAAGCTGTTGGCTTTCTAGGCTGCACGCACACACTGCTGCCTCATGTCCAGCTTTTCATCCACCAGAATTCTCAAGTCCTTCTTTTCTGGATTGCTCTCAGTGAGTTCTCCCATCTTTACCTATATCTATCTAGTATTGCCTGACTGAGATGATACACTTTGCACTCAGCCTTGCTGAATCTCAATATGTTCATGTGGGCTCACTTTTTGAGCTTGCCCAGGTCACTTTGGATGGCATGCCTTCTGTCATATCAACTGCACCTCTGTAACACCAGTCCAGTGTTGTCTGCAAATCTACTCAGGTTGCACTTGATTGATCATTGGTCATTGGTAAAGATATTAAAGACAACTGGTCCCAAATTGGACCCCTGGGGGACGTAACTTGTGACTGGCCTCCATGTGGACATAGACCCATTGACCACAACCCTCTGGCTGTGACTGTTCAACCAATTCCCCAAGCACTGAATACTCAACCCTTCAAATCCATCTCTCTCCAATTTAGAGATTAAGATGTAATATGGGACTATGTCAAAGGTCTTGCAGAAATCTAGATAGATGTCATCACTTGCTCTTCCTTTGTCCACTGATGCTGTCACTCCTTTGTAGAAGGCCTTCTAGGTACAGAGATAAGTCTCACTGGTCTTACATTCTCCTTGTCTTTCTTTCTATCCTCCTTAAAAAATGGGAGAATTTGATACAGCACCTACACAGTGGAAGACTAAAGATATGAGATTCAAAAAATTTTCATAATTGGAGACTTTATTGCCAATCCTAATGACCATAAGAGCTGTCAAATCTTCTTACTGCTCATAGATCTAGAGATTTTGAGATGCATAAAATGAAAAATGTTTCTCATTTCGTAATGTTTCCTGAATTCCCAAACAGTAATTGAATCAAAATTGTATGTTTTGTTCCATGGTCACCAAGGCTACAAGTACATTTTAATTTTGTTTTATGATGAGAGATGATATTCTCATAAAAAAGACATGGATTTTGAGAAAAGATGAATATAATAGGGTGTACCATAAGGCTGGAGGAGTTGGCTCCTTTCCAGAAAGTTGGTGCTGCTCTCAAAAGGTATAACTGGGGATGGAATATCATATGGTTGTGCAAGCATATAGCATGTTCTTTTACATCTTTTATCCCATCTGGCTACATAGAGATTGTGTTCATATCTAAAACATTTTTGATGGCCCTTCTACGAGGCAGTAGTGTTTTAGAATTAG